AAAAAGGATCTTTCTCCCTCTCTCTTTTCCCACCCTCCTGCTACCCTGTAATATCACTGTGAACTCATGGTGAACTTTCTGATTCAGTGTGTTAGGGTAAGTAATTGTCATCAGTCCTTTTGATGATGATTTTTTTTTTCAAATTTGGTCCCTTTAAGCCAGCTGCTGTCCTGTTGACATGACCCCATTAGAGCTTCTGTGCCATCTAGCACTTGTCATAGGCTCACCTTTACAAACGCCCTTGTCCCAAGATTTGGATTCACCCATTTCTCCAAAACTCCCTGGTTTCTTTTAGCTGATAATGGGCTTTGGGAAGCATACCTGCTGCTGGATTGTTGTTCCTTCTGGGCCCTTTCAGTGGACAGCGCTAGGAAATAGTGTATATGTGTAAAATCATGAGTTCATTCAGTGTATATATAAGGTTCAGTAAATGAAAATAAAAAGTAAATTAGAAATCACAAGTTTATGTAGTCCAAATTTAGCAGTGTTGAGATTTAGTCTTTGCTACTTTTATATATTTATATTTTATCTCTTATCAATTATAAGTAAAAATCTTGACTTTAATTCCTTTAATATGCTTATTATTTGCTTTAGCCTGAGATATATAGTAAGTCCTCATGTAGCATGAAATGATATGTAATGAAACCAACTTTTTTCCTCATCAACTTTATAATGAAAGGACATTGAACAAAACTTTAGTCAGGGACCTTGTCAATCATTTCGTTTAACGTTGTAGTGTCCAAGAACCTATGGACATTAAGTGAGAACTTATATATAAAAGTCACAAAATTACAGTCAAGATTATTACTAACAGTAAATAGATGGAGGAAAATGTGAGATTTCTTTACCTTTTTTGTGCTTAAATGTATCCTAGAATATGGATGTTTAAAGTTATTTAAAATTCTTCTTTGTCTATGTTACCAGTTTGGTATACCATTAATTTTTTTTAACTTGAGTTTACTATTTACATCTTTTACTTAAGTGTAATTTTTGAGTATATAAAACACTTATATGGGTCAAAGTTGAAACAATGTTTTAACAAAGTATACTCCAAAGTGTTGATCTCTTTCTCTCCCAGTACCTTAGTCATAGCTACTGCATTTAAGTAACCATTTTCATTAGTTTCTGGATTTTTTTCCTCTGTTTCCTTTCCAGAAACATGTTAATATTTTATCTATTCTTTTTTTTTTTTTTTGAGTTGGAGTCTCACTCTGTCACCCAGACTGGAGTGCAGTGGCCGCTCCGGGCCACTGCAGCCTTGACCTGCTGGGCTCTGGCGATCCTTCCGCCTCAGCCTTCCAAGTAGCTGGCTGTAGTTATAGGCACGTGCTACCACACCCGGCTCATTTTGATTTATTATAGAGATGAGGTCTCACCAAGTTTTCTAGGTGGGTAGCGAACCCGCAGGCTCAGGCAATCCACTCACCTCAGCCTCCCAAAAGCGCGGGATTACAGGCTGAGCCACCGAGCCCGGCTATTATTTTGTCTATTCTTATTGCCCATTCTGCTGCATAGAAGCATTTTGTTTGCACTGTTCTGAATTGATTTCTGGGAAATATTTTTCCTAGTTCAGAGAGGTTGTCATCCTCTTTTCAGCTCCATCGTACTCATTTGTAGTTGTAGTGCAGTCTGGACCAGGCTCTTACTGGTGGTTGTTTGGGATGCTGCAGTGAGGAGCTGTACACTGTCTTTCCGTGTTTGAGGAAATCTTTAGGATAAATTCCTTGAAGTGGGATTATTGGGCTAAGGGTAAGTATATATGTAGTTTTATTAGATATTAACAAATTCCCCTCTGTAGAAGTTGTAACATTTGACCTTCCACTAGCAGAATATGTGTCTGTCCACACTATCAATAAAGAATTTGTTGTCAGCTTTTTGGTTTTTTTCCCAGTTTGATAGTGATAATTGGTATATCATGGTAGCTTTTATTCTTATCGCTCTTATGAGTGAAAAGGAGTATTTTTGTTTATATTTTTAATTGCCATTTATAGATTTTTCTGAACTGCCTTTTCAGAGGTTTCACTTAGTAAGGAACTACTAATGACTACTACTTTACCCTAAATAAATAGTCTCTGTTTTGGTGCCAGGTTCTTCTATTCCATATCTTTATTCAGTGAGTTATATTTAGAATCTTAAAAAAAACTCCTTATATTTGAATAAATATTGTACACTAGTTATGCAAAATATGAATTTAAATGTAAAGTTGTTTTGTTGGCATAAAATGCATAATAGTACCAGAATATCAATTTTATTCTTTTTAAAAAAGCTGATTTGTGATTAAAGTACAGCACTTAAAACTATAAGGCACAACACTGTAAACTATAAGATTTATAGAGTTGCTTTTATAAGAAAACTAAAACATATTATAGAAGCAGGTAGCAGGACACTAGTAGGGAGTGTGTTTGGGAGATGTCTTAAGTAATGATGTCATGAGGTGATTAAGTTGAACTATTTTTTATTTTGCTTTCAGTTATTAAACTGACTGCTAGCATAGTAAATTTGTATTTTAAAATTAGAGTGAAATGGAAACATCAGCTAATTGCCTAGAAACCTAGTTGTATAGGAGTTAGCTTAAAATTTAGAGGAACAGATGGGAACATTTAATTTCTAGAAATAACTATGGTTGAGTTCCAGGACTGCATATATTGGTTTTAGTTGTTGTGAAGAAGCAAGCTATCTTGTATACTTAAAGGAATGATGGCATCCCTAACTTAGTGGTGTGGGAATTGTGAGAATATTTACAGATCATATGGATATTGCTTATGTAAAGATGCAGAAGTTATCAAGTATTTGTAATCTTCATAGTATCTGTAGGTTAAGTAGTGGTTCTGATTTCTGGGAGGAAGTCAAAATATTCATTATTTTGCTTAATCGTATTTAATTTAAAAGACCAACTAGCAGTTGAGTTTTTTCTATTGTTATTTATTTATTTATTTATTTATTTATTTTTTTTGAGTTGGAGTCTCACTCTGTCGCCCAGACTGGAGTGCAGTGGCCGCTCCCGGCCACCGCAGCCTCGACCTGCTGGGCTCTGGCGATCCTTCCGCCTCAGCCTTCCAAGTAGCTGGAATTACAGGCGCGCGCTACCACGCCCAGCTGATTTTTTGATTTATTGTAGAGATGAGGTCTCGCTGCCCAGGCGGGTCTCGAACCCGCGGGCTCAGGCAATCCACTCACCTCAGCCTCCCAAAGGCGCGGGATTACAGGCTGAGCCACCGAGCCGGCTTCTATTGTTATTTAAAACAGATTCATCCTAACTTTGGTAGAGGAATTCATGGCTGAATATTGCCGTAAGTGAAGAAAGCTATTTCTCACTTTCTTCTGGGAGCTTTGTTTCCATCCTCATTTGGATTGGCTTCTGAGAGACCATAAAATGAAATTGGTGTTATTGCATTAAATGTGTTCCTTCCTAGACAAGTAGTAGGAGTTGTCTTTGACCTCTCAACACCTGCAGACTCATTTTATCAGAAGAGTAGGTACAACAGAGAAACTTTGTATAGTAGAGAAAGTACTGGCTGAACATTGATTTTGGTCACACATTCATTTTTGACATTTTTTTTTTAAGAAAAGAAAAATGTGTAAAAATATGAATAAATTGGAGAATACCCTTGCAAATAAAAACTTAGAGCTTTATATTTATTGCATATTTTCTCAAAATATTAGATGGTCTTAAAATATTTGAAAAATACCAATAATTGGATTTATACATAATTTTGTAGGAATACTTTTGTATAGAACCATAACAGTACTTTTTTGTAAAGCAAAAATATTTTTACTCTTTTAGCTACTTGTGTGTCAGAAAAGAATCTAACGAATGGCGCTTCTAGATGAGCACTGTGAAATAATTCATCTCAGTGTCAGCTGGCAACTTCGACTCCCCAGAACCTGCCAACAGGCAGAAAGCAAGCAGAACAAGACTGATTTGCTAAGAGTTGTCATAAATTTCACAAGAGAAACCTTTGACTTTCTATCAAGTGTTTATTTACTTTTACCTTATAAACAGCTTGATTATTTGGTTTCCTAACTCATAATAGATTGGAAGCAGTAAAATGGTAGAACAGGAATGATGAGGTGGGACGATAATAGAAAAAACATGTGCCGTCAGCAGTGGTAAGTGATGTGGACAGGATGACAGGAACCGGGAAATCTTTTGAAAAAAATCCTGTGGTGGACTTTCTTTTAGGGGTAACATTTTAAAATTGTAAAAATAGTAAAAATAATAGTAAACAAACAAAATCATCCCTCAAATTCTTCACATTTTAGTAACTTCCCTAATAGCTTCCTGTGTCTGGGCATGTGAAACTCAGCCCCATCCATTCAGTGAGTTTAATGTTACCTAAATCAACAAAGTTATTGTGTTGTGTATATAGCTGAGATTGCGTATTTGAAAATATTTAGCACAATGTCTGACACAGAGTAACTGCTCAACAAATGCTAGTCATTAGTTGAATCTTGAAATAGTATATTAGTATAAGTTAAGCTATGCTCACTGTAACTACACTTTTTGTTGTATTCCACCCAAAACGTCAAGTCCAAACTCGTTTATTTACAGCCTACAAATCCTAAAAGCTCTGAAAGCCAGTGAGTTTTTTTTTACAAACACTTTTGACTATAAGAGATTACCCAAACTGACATCAGGATACATAGAATCTTTATGCTACTTTGTGCACCATTTGCTGTTTTAATGTTTTACTTTAGAAATGTAAAGATATTTGATACTGAGGTATTGCCCCAGATCTGCTAGAGGAATTATATGTGCACCCATATTTTCTTTCTAAAATCTGAAAAATGTTTTATTCCAGGATAAATTTGCCCTAGGAGTTTTGGATGGGATATTATGTTCCTTTGGTATTTAATGTATACTTGAATTGAATTGAAAGGATAAACTTATGTGATCTTATTTAATGAGAATACACAATTGATACTGAGTGTGTGGTTTTCTAGGAAATGTTGATTGAGCTAATAAACACAAGTCATTGTATGCTCTTTCTCCTTCACAGCAAAATGAAAAAGAGAGCTTGTTGAAGGAAAGAGATCACATTTTGTCAACTCTGGGTGAGACAAAGCAGAACCTAACTGGACTTTGCCAGCAAGTCTGTAAAGAAGCAGCTCTAAGTCAAGAACAAATACAGATACTCGCCAAGTACTCAGCCTCAGATTGCCCACTTTCATTTTTAATATCTGAAAAGGAAAAAAGTACTGCTGATGGCAAACTTGTGTTACCATCTATTTTTAGTTTATCTGAAGGACCTCCAGCTGTGCTGCCTCCCAGTGCCCGAGGAACCAGTGAGTCTGGCTATGCACGGGGCCAGGAGTCCCAGCAGGCGTCCTCCATAGCTTCCTCCGAGCAAGCCGGGCTTTTGGAGCAGTGTCGTCAGAGCAGCGGAATCTCAGATTTCTGTCAGCAGATGACCGATAAATGTACTACTGATGAGTGAACTTGCATTCACTTCTCTCAAACCATCTGATTCTCTCCTGAAGTTTTGGTGTTGTCTTGAAAGCCCAATATGACCATCTATTGCTTAATTTTGTTTGTTAGTAATTTGCCATAGGGGAATTTCTGTTAAATCAACCCTGATTTCTTCTTGATTTCCACAAGAGACACAGAAATGATTTTGCCTCCTGAATACCTGAAAAATCACATGTGAAAATGTAGTAAGCCTTAAGAATAATAATTATTAGTAATAATACTTCCCAGTAGCATTCAACATAAATATGAGAAAGAAGGCTGCAGCCTATCAAACAGTAGTTTAACAGCTTGAAACAACTACAGATATTTCCTACTAAAGAAGTGGACTGCAGAAGTTTAATATGTTGACCTTTTTGCAGTATACTGATTTAAAAGAAAATTTCTTCTGAATCAACGCTAATAAAGTTCTGTTCTACTCAGAAACAGGGTGTCAGCTACTGGGGATACTTGTGTAGAGCTGCAGTGTGAAAAATAGATCGTCTTACCTGAGTCCTAGAGCTTTCCTCTTCAGCTCCTACTAAAACCAGAGGTTAGTTGACTTTCACTGTGACTCCTTAGCGCATTGGGAAGATTTAGTCAACGGGCAGGTGGTTGGCCGAAGTAAGGGCTTATGCTCCTCTTCAGTGTGGATGCTAGAAATTCTGGCTGCATAAACAGTAGATAAGTGTTATTTTCCCTCTGTTTTTCCCTCTTTAGTCCCTACCACATCTGAGCCCATCATGAGCTTTCCATTTCCTGACGCTCTTGTCGCTTTGGAAGGAGAAATAGGATTCAGGATACAGTTGCATGAGCGAATGCCCTGGCAGCGTTATCTTATCCAGGAGAGCTTACCAACATACATGACTGGTCAGTTTCCACCACAGGTCACCAATACCAGAAAACCATACATCGAGGGAAGGAAAATTTCCTACGCTTATCCCAGGAGTGCAATTCATTTTTCATCGTGTTTTTGAAGTCCTATAGTTTTATTATAAAAAGCATTATTATAGATAAAAATACATCAACAACTTTTTCCATATGGATTTGCATTTGGAAACCAGGTCCCTTTCCCACATCTGTAGTGGTATAAAGGCACACAAATCATTTTGATACCAGCTTTTTAAAATCGTATATTTATTTGATCCTGTTAGAAGATAAATTTATAATTTGAGTCCAGGTGCGGTGGCTCATATCTGTAATCCCAGCACTTTGGTAGGTTGAGATGAGAGGATTGCTTGAGCCCAGGAGTTTGAGACCAGGTTGGGCAACATGGTGAGCAATTTTTTTTTTTTTTTTTTTGAGTTGGAGTCTCACTCTGTCACCCAGACTGGAGTGCAGTGGCCGCTCCCGGCCACTGCAGCCTTGACCTGCTGGGCTCTGGCGATCCTTCCGCCTCAGCCTTCCAAGTAGCCGGAATTACAGGCGCGTGCTACCACGCCCAACTAATTTTTTGATTTATTGTAGAGATGAGGTCTCGCTGCCCAGGCGGTCTCGAACCCGCGGGCTCAGGCAATCCACTCACCTCAGCCTCCCAAAGGCGCGGGATTACAGGCTGAGCCACCGAGCCCGGCTCAATTTTTTTTTTAAAACCCGGTTTGGTGGTAAGCACCTGCAGTTCCAGCTACTCGGGAGGTTGAGGTGGAAGGATTGCCTGAGCCCTGCAGGTCGAGGCTGCAATAACTGTGATAGTGTCACTGCATTACATCATGAGTGACATTGAGACACTGGCTCAAAAAAAAAAGTGTATAATTTGAGCACCTATCCCATAACATTTTGCAGTGGTTTTTTAGCCATTCTGGGATTACAGATTTGAGAATCAAAGCTATAGAACTTCTTGGCCATTTTTAAAAATTGCATATATTCATAGTCACAGAAACATTTGCAGAAGCCAGTATTAAAGGGTACAAAGGAGTAGTTTATAGTATTTTGAATAGAAAGTACTCATTTCACCAGGATTCAGATGTCTGAAAGAGATAACTTCTATAGACTGCATTCTGAGCCTAGCAAAGGGCCTTCTAGCTTCTGTAGGCGATGCCACCCGCCATGTGGTCAGAATGGGTCTGAAGCAAACAGGCCTCAGCTGTGAGAGTATATGGGACCAGTCTCCATGCCTCAGAGTAATTTGTTAAATGTTACCCTTTTGGATTGGGGTGTGCGGGGAGGACATTGCTAGTATATTTTCAGTAGCTTGTCTGTTATCTCTGTTATTGACTTAGTTGTGAGAGAAAACTAGTTGGGCTGGTTTATTTTCTGGTGGCTTCCATAAGTACACTCAGTCATTTGTCAGGGAAAATGAGAATTCTATGATAGTGCATCCCGTACTACAAAATAATTGTGTGTGTATGTTTATATATATAATTTCCCCATGTTGCTGTTTCTTTGATACTTGTATTTTTAAATTTCAACTTCACAATATGAAATAATATAAAAACTTTTCTGGTTTACAAAATGTAAAATCTTACACAAGCCAATGGAATCCTTGATTTCCTACCTCAGTGTACACTCAACTGTTTGATATATCAGTTTGTGTATATGCAGCTGTCAATTTTTTGCTTTAATTGCTACTGTAAATATTTGCTTTGAAAACTTACTTAGTATTTTATGATAAAATCTAGTTGTCTCCAGGGCTTAAATATAATATTTAAGGCACTTGGTTTAAATTTCTCTCTACCTATGAACAGTTTAGCATTAAGGGTTTATTTTAATGATATTATTGGCCAAGTGTAATACTCCTAAAATTTAGCATTACTTTTAGTAGCCAGCATGTAATACAAGTAACTACACTACCTCATTCCTACATGATTTTTAAGTTGTAATACAGATGAATAGATACAAAAGATTTTATCTTTGTCTTTTGGCCATAAGCTGGGGAAGTTTTCTATATATAGCATAGCATTACACATTCATGCCTATTTTAACATTAACTTCTAAAGAAGTTTTTCTAAGAAAATTTGTTTCAAGGCAATATTTTCTTTTTGAAGCTGCCGAAGACAAATGACAGGATTATGTGTATACAGTGTATGCCTTCTCCTTCATGCAGGTTTTTGAAAATGTGGTTTTCAGTTTGTGTATTGTATATTTACATGATTGTTGTTTCTTATTTTATGAACTGGCCTTCTCAGTGCTAGGTGATTTTTAAAAAGCTCTTCTGTCTATTTCACTACAGTAGCATTACCTTATTTTTTTAAAATTCAAATTCTATAACTATAGCAAATCATTTGTTAAATTGTCATATTTAAAACAAATGTGGATACAATCTTGGTTCTCTATCTGTAAGTTTTATAACATTTTACTATGCTTAATGCTTAACCAATTTAAAATAAGGAATTAAATATATTTGATGCAGTAGACGATACAGGTTGCATGTGGACACTCAGCCACATTAGCAACTTGGAAAAAAAAGAAATGGCAATGTATAATGAATTCTCAGGTGAACTTTTTCAGTTATGAAACATCTATTTTGAATTTGTAAATATTTTAAATGTTTTATTAAGGCATGTAATAAACTATTCTTTGAAATTTGTTGGGTAGACTGAAAATTTAAAGCCATAATGGTAAAAGATGGCATACTGATTGTAAAATAAACAGAAATAATAGCATTGATTTTTTTTGTATCTTTCATAATATAATTTTCTAACAATGCAATAAAACCACTATACTAATATATCCATAACCTATTAAGTCCATGCTTCATTAAAAGTACATTTTCATAGTATTTAATTTACATTTTTTTTCCTTATGTGCTTACCCAAATGTAGCAAAACTATAAATGTTAGATGTTGGTGATAAATTGACAGTTAAATAAAATTCTCTAAAATTGCTTTAAATTGGATAGAGTTGTACATTCCATTTTTATTTTCTCACCTCTCATATGAATTTACCAATCTTAGTCTTTTTAACAGTAATCAGTATGACTGGGCTTATGGAAGGGAATCTTTCCTTAGTTGGTTATCATGCCTGAAAAAATTCCCCAGCATTCAGATTTTAGCCTTGCTTCTAATTTACCTAATTTTAGTCTTTGGATAGAGATATGTAAGGGCTTTTTTAAGGATTATTATCTCTATCAGTCATTAATTTTAAAAAAATATGGCTAGTCAACTCTGCCATGTTACATTTAATTTCTACCCAGGCCCTTATATCAACCTCTGAATAGCTTCGAATAGCAGCTTAGTGCTGTTGGCCATCCAGGGCATGGTCTTCTGGTCTACTAATAATGATTCTCAACTGGGGATGATTTTGCCTCCAAGGTGGCTTTTGGCAGTTCTCCAGGACACACATAATGTAGGGATAGAATCTGGTGGGTAGAGGCCAGGGAGACTGCCAAACATCCTACAATGCACAGGGCAGCCCTCAACCAATAATTACCTACTGGATTGTCACACATGCTGACACAGACCCTGACTAGTCCAACGATGGACTCAAGATGATTTGTAGGCAAGTGTTCAATTGTGTGAGGCAGTGTGGTGGCTACAAGAGTTCACAGGAAAGGGAGTAGGAAGTGTGGGTTTTTACCATGTGAATCAATCTCTGGAGAGACGAGGCCACCTGGCACAGGTAAGCCTGGCTTGTTAATGGGATAGAGGGAGGTTGTGTCACAATGGGAGGCAGGAGGAGGAGGCCCAAGCTAGACCAAGCTCCGTGAGGGCAGACCCTGCTTCAGTGTACTTCACCAGTGTGTCCCAGCATCTTGCGTATTGTGCTGCTCCGACTGTTACAGAAGGTCCAAGATCAGACAGTAAGAGCTTTTAGAACAACGGAAGTGTAAGTAATAAGTGTTAGGTTTTAGAAGAAGGCCAATAAGTAGCAGCCTCTCTCTGGCTAGAGTTTTGAACCATTTGAGAAATGAAAAGGCGACGGGTGCAATCCATATTGCTGATGGAGCCCAAGTTGGAATTATGGTTTCCAGCTGTTTAGTCCAGTGAATTTGTTAGAAGAGAATTTTGGAATTAGACAGACTTATCCCTTCACCCAGTTACTCCAGCCCCACCCCCAAAGGGGCAGAACCCCTTGTGGAGCAGAAACACATATACAGGGAGGCAAATCCCAAGACTAGGGGGTAGGCTGAGACAAGCATGCTTAGTTACTCTTAAAGTTTTTTCATCAGAATCCAAGATTTCCTCCTCAGGCAGGGCTGGTGGGAGT